CAGCTACCAGTAGAGCAGTGGTTCTCAACCTTTTTAATGCCGTGACCCCCAACTGGTCGTAAGTCAAGGACTACTCAACCGGTCATAAGTCAAGGACTACTCAACTGGTGCAGCGCCGTTTGCAGAATGGGACTTTTGGCGGGCTCAGCAGGGCAGAGACAGCCTGGACAATTCCTATTGGCTTTTGAAAGCCAATAGAATTAGACTCTATTCAAAAGAGTCTATTCTATTGGCTTTCAAAAGCCAATAGAATAAAAGGGAGTAGCACAGCTAAGGAAAAGGGGGGAAAAATGGCGGGCTGCGTTGTTTGGCGACCCCCGTGAAATGGTTGTTCAACCCCAAATGGGGTCCCGACCCACAGGTTGAGAACCACTGCACTAGAGTCATCTTTTGGGTATAAAGCTGAAACAATTTGAAATTTCTGTATTTTATCATACTGCTTACAGATAGTCCTCGATTTACATGATCACAATTTATGTTGCTAAGCAAGACAGTTAAGTTAGTTTTGCCCCAGTTTACGACCTTTCTTGCCACAGTTGTTAAGTGAATCACTGCAGTTGTATAGTGAACAACACAGTTGTTAAGCGAATCTGGCTTCCCCATTGAGTTTGCCTGTCAGAAGGTCACAAAAAGTGATCACATGACCCCGGGACACTGCAGCCGCCATAAATATGAACCAGTTGTCAAGCATCTGAATTTTTATCATGTGACCTCAAGGATGCCGCAACGGTCAAAAGTATGAAAAATGGTTATAGGTCACATTTTTCAATGCTGTTGTAACTTAGTATGGTCACTAAACAAATGGTTGTAAACAGTGGTGGGATTCAAATATGTGAACAACCAGTTCTCTGTGTGGATGCTACTTCCGGAAGTCCATTCTGAGCTTGGGCAACAAAGAATTAGTTACGGTTCTGCCGAAGTGGTACGAACTGGCTGAATCCCATCACTGGGAGGACTACCTGTACAGTCTTATTGAGGAAGAATAAGGAGAAAGCTCTTGACAAACTTTCTGACTTTTAATATTTCCTAGCTCAGGGGTTCCCAATCTTGGCAATTTTAAGATATGTGGACTTTAACTCCCAGAATTCCCAGCCATTCATGCTGGCTTGGGAATTCTGGGAGTTGAAGTCCACACCTCTTAAAGTTGAAGACTTAAAGTTGAATTCTGGAAGTTGAAATCCACACATCTTAAAGTTGTTAAGATTGGGAACCCTTGTCCTAGAGAACAATGCCCATCAAAGTCACCCTAACCTAATTTTGTCTGCACCAATGTTGGATATTTTACTTAGTAAGAAGAACAGCAATAAAAAGGTGAGGAAGTGGAATGAGGTGAGCCATTTTTTCCCTCTAGCTTTTGTTTTTCTCAAATATAAGGCTCAAATGCCACCTACTGGGAAATCAGAAGGTTGTTCCTACACTATTAATCCTGAATTTATTAAGAATATATAAAGAGCTTCACTGAATCAAGAACAGAGACCCACATTTGCTTCCCATTAAGGCCTGTGAAAATAAAGTTGTGATATTTTTCCCAAATTTTCCAGCTTTCTGGAGAAAACTCTAATGCTGGGGAAGATGGAAGCAAACAGCAGAACAGTATGACCAGCAATAAGATAGATGGACTTCATTACAATAGCAATCCACGGGTGGAACACTTGAAAGACCAACTTGGAGACGTAAGTTGCCATGGAGAAAATCTATCTATGTGGTTGCTAAAAGTTGTCTTGCATTGATGGCACACAATCAATCAATCAAAGCCTCAAACTCCCTTGAAATTCCCCATAGAGCCCAAAATAAGAACCCCAAGGGAAAGGAGATCAGAATAACATGAGCAGTATGGTAGCATCATAAGCAACCTCCCTTTTCTATCTGCATTGCATACACCCCAAAAAGACACAGCTTTCACTGCAACGTTGTTTGTCATTCTGTTAAAAGCAGCAAATGCCTGTGGCCAGGTTTTTGTTGTTGTAATAATAGTAATAATAATAATAATAATAATAATAATAATAATAATAGTAGTAGTAGTAGTAGTAGTAGTAATAATAATAATAATAATAATAATAATAATAATAAAAGTTGGAAGGGACCTTTGAGGTCATCTAGTCCAACCCCCTGCTCAGGCAGGAAACCCTATACCATTTCAGACAAATGGCTGTCCAGTCTCTTCTTAAAAACTTCCAGTGTTGGAGCATTCACCACTTCTGGAGGCAGGTTGTTCCACTGGTTAATTGTTCTAAGGTCAGGAAGTTTCTCCTTAGTTCTAGGTTGCTTCTCTTCTTGATTAGTTTCCATCCGTTGCTTCTTGTCCTGCCTTCAGGTGCTTTGGAAAATAGCTTGACTCCCTCTTCTTTGTGGCAGCCTCTGAGATATTGGAATAATGTGTTGTTGTTGTTGTTGTTGCTCTTGTTGCTGAGGTTACAAACTGAGCAATGAATGAAAATGATTGTTTAATGAAAAGTCTAATGAAAAGAAGGGCTGGGGTGACATGATAGCAGGGTTACAATATTTGAAGGGCTGTGGCAAAGAAGAGGGGGTCGGCCTCTTCTCCAAAGTACCTGAAGGTAGGACAAGAAGCAATGGATGGAAGCTAATCAAAGACAGAACCAACTTAGAACTAAGGAGAAATTTCCTGACAGTGAGAACAATTAATCAGTGGAACAACCTGTCTCCATCACTGGAGGTTTTAAGAAGAGACTGGACAACCATTTGTCTGAAACAGTATAGGGTTTCCTGCCTGAGCAGGGGGTTGGACTAGACGACCTCCAAGGTCCCTTCCAACTCTGTTATTCTATTATTCAATATTACATATGTTTCTCATCTGCAAACTGTTTTCGATGTTTGATGCTCTGCCATTTCCAATTTTATAAATTCCTTTGCTGGGATAAGAATCCCAATATTCCAAAAAACGGTTTTCATCTTGGATATTTATACAGAATAACACAGTTGGGAGGGGTCTTGGAGCTCTTCTACTCCAACTCCCTGCTCAAGCAAGAGACCCTATAACGTTCCACACAAGTGTCTATCCAATCTCTTCTTAAAAACCTCCAGTGATTTCTATGGGTTGCATTAAGGCAGGGGTTCCCAAGCAGGGATGCTTGCACCCCTGTGGATGTGAGACAATATTCCAGGGGGTGCGAAAACTTAGGTTTTCAAAATTATAGTGTATAAGCATAATTCGTTGGCCTTATTTTGAACTTGAGGGGTGCAAGAATATATCACAAGCGTTCTAGGGGTGTGGGGTATAGAAAAGGTTGGGAGCCGCTGCATTAAGGAATAGGTGGCTTTCTTTTCCAATTCCACTTTTAAAAGAGAAGAAAAGAATTTCAGAAAGTATTCAATTATTAAGATGGACCTGTTTTGTCCATTTTACTATCCCTCTTCTCTCCTGCTCCTTCTCTCTGCACTTAAGAACAGTGTTTCTCAATCTGAGCAATTTTTGTTGTTGTTAGTTGCGAAGTCTTGTCTGACCCATCGTGACCCCATGGACAACGTTCCTCCAAGCCTTCCTGTCCTCTGCCATCTTCTGGAGTCCATTTAAACTCATGCCTACTGCTTCAGTGACTCCATCCAGCCACCTCATTCTCTGTCGTCCCCTTCTTCTATTGCCCTCCGTCTTTCCCAGCATTAGGCTCTTCTCCAGTGAGTCCTTCCTTCTCATTAGGTGGCCAAAGTACTTGAGTTTCAACTTCAGGATCTGGCCTTCTAAAGAGCAGTCGGGGTTGATCTCCTCTAGGACTGACCGGTTTGATCGCCTTGCAATCCAGTCCAGGGGACTCACAGGAGTCTTCTCCAGCACCATGGTTCAAAGGCCTCAATTCTTTGGCGCTCAGCCTTTCTTAAGGTCCAACTTTCACAGCCATACATTTCAGCTGGGAAAACCATGGCCTTGACTATACGTACTTTTGTTGGCAGGGAGATGTCTCTGCTTTTTAGTATGCTATCTAGATTTGGCATAGCTTTCCTCCCCAGGAGCAAGCGTCTTTTAATTCAGTGGTTCTCAACCTGTGGATCGGGACCCCATTTGGGGTCGAATGACCATTTCACGGGGGTCGCCAAACAATGCAGTCCGCCATTTTTTCCCCTTTTCCTTAGCTGTGCTACTCCCTTTTATTCTATTGGCTTTTGAAAGCCAATAGAATAGACTCTCTTGAATAGAGTCTAATTCTATTGGCTTTCAAAAGCCAATAGGAATTGTCCAGGCTGTCTCTGCCCTGCTGAGCCCGCCAAAAGTCCCATTCTGCAAACGGTGCTGCACCAGTTGAGTAGTCCTCAACTTACGACCAGTTGAGTAGTCCTCGACTTACGACCGGTTGGGGGTCGCGGCATTAAAAAGGTTGAGAACCACTGTTTTAATTTCTTGGCTGCAGTCCCCATTTGCGGTGATCTTGGAGCCCAGGAAGACAACTTTAAGCAACTTTAAGACTTGTGAATTTCAACACCCAGAATTCCCCAACCAGCATGCTGCTAGAGAATTCTGGGAGTTGAAATCCATAAGTCTTAAAAGTTGCTCAGATTGAGAACCACTGACTTAGAAAGATCCTAACAACAGTCAGTTTGCTTTAGTTGTTTATGTTTTAACTTGTTGCCCTGAAAACAGGCTTAACCTCTTCTTTCTCTTGCTTATCCCAGTCTCCAGTGTAAACTCTTGCTGCACTCAGCTGCATGAACTTGCTGTTTCAAATTCATCCCCACCCATTTAATAAAAGATCGTCCCCATACTAATAATCAAAGTATAAAGTCTGTTTTTCCTGAGCATTGAAAATTATTTCCAAAACAGTAGGTGGGCCATTGCTTATGAAACAATATTTTTATGAAGGCAGGAGGAGGATGGGAAACAGTTGGACAACAGCGCCATCGTGTGGGAGAGAAATGCAGGGAAATTCGAACAGAAAAATTAATTTCTTTGTTAGGCAGAGCAGGAAGAAAGATCCAGTGGCGTGGAAGAGCTACGTAGATACGTAGATTACACTATAAAAGAATAAATTAATTGTAAGCGCACATACCTTCCGTGTGTCCAGCTTGCAAAATCAGGACAAAATCATATTCTGCCTAGTTTGAGCAGAGGTGTCAAACTGGCGGCCTACGGACCAGATGTGTCATGCACAGGCCACGCCCACTCCAGCTCTGCAAAGGCAAAAAACGTCACAATATGTCACAATACATCATGATGCAATCGAGTTTGACACCCGTGATTTAGATGTTGAACAATCTGATTTTTATGTCAAAAGTAATTTAAACTGGAAATGTTGATGACTGGGCACAGTCTGCAACAGCCTTGTCATGAAATAAAAAGTGTGAGGATTCCCAGCACAGCCCAATCTAGGGGTAGTCCTCGACTTAACAGCTGCTCATTTAGTGATCGTTCAAAGTTACAGTGGCACTAGAAAAAGTGCCTTATGACCATTTTTCACACTTACGACCTTTGCAACAGCCCTGTGATCCTGAGATCAAAATTCAGATGCTTGGCAACTGCTTCATACTTATGACTGTCGCAGTGTCCCAGGGCCATGTGACTACCGTTTGCAACCTTTTGCCAAGCTGAATCAATGGGGAAGCCAGATTCACTTAACAACCGTGTAAGTAACTTATCAACTGCAGTGATTCGCTTAACAACTGTGGCAAGAAAGGTTGTCGCACTTTGCAGCAGAAATTTTGGGCTCAGTTGTGGTCATAAGTCAAGGACTATTTGTATTTTGATATTATTTTTATCTATAGTGCATCCCCAAGACGTTGTCATTTTCATAATGTGGCACTTTATCTAAGATATGAACCACAGAAACCTACTGCTCCATGTTTCTCCTGTAACGATGGCCAAACCGTGAATTGGCGCAGCCAAATGCTGAGTTGGTTTTGCCCTGGAGCGAAATAGCCAACTAGAGGTGGTCCTTGACTTACGACCAAAATTGAATAGACAATTTCTGTTGCTAAGTGAGACAGTTGTTAAATGACTTTTGCCTCATTGTACAACTTTTCTTGCCACATTTTTAAGTGATTCCCTGCAGTTGTTAAGTCGGTTACATGGTTGTTAAGTGAAACTTGCTTCCCCACTGACTTTGCTCATCCAAAGATTGCCAAAGGGGATTACATGACCCTGGGACACTGTAACCATCATAAATATGAGTTAGTTGCCAAGCATCCGAATTTTGATCATGTCAGCCTGGAGATCCTGCAACAGTCGTAAGGGTGAAAAACAATCTAAGTCACTTTTTTCAGTACCGTTGTAATTTCGAACCATCACTAAATTAATGGTTGTAAGTCAAGGACAATCTGCATCTCACAAGGTGGGAATTTGCAACCTGTTTATTCTGTATTGCACAAAGAGATGTGCTCTCAGGACTACGTCACAAATTCAGACACATGCTCCATACACAAATTGCATAACCTTTATACACTTTGGGGAAATCCAGGAACATGATCAGTAGATACAAAGCAAGCACTAGGTAACAAGCAATACAATACTCACAACCCCTGAGAAGATGATCTCCCAGAAATGGGTTCATCACAGTGCTTGTCCCTCTGTCCCTAACTGGTATGGCTGATAATTAAGTATGCAAAACTTTCTAGCTAATTTATCTGCAACAGGAAAAGGAAGTTAGCCCTGAATCTTTGGAGTCCCTTGATAAGGCTATCGGGAATGTCCAGGAATTTTAGCGCAAGGATGTAAGGCCCAAAAATGAGAGGATCAAAGATATAACATCTGAAAGCAAAATGAGAGGGGCTTTTTTTCCTCAACAAAATGGAGCTTCTCTGGCTATAACTAGCTAGCCAGTCCTAGAGTGGGTTTCCAGAACTCAAACCGTCTCCATCAACCTTCCCTAACCACGTTGTGTCCAGATATCTTGGAATACAATCTCACTGTCTCCAGATAGAATGCCCATTTGAAAAAGAAAGGAAGTTATAGATCATATGGGACTCTCTGTTACGTATTTGACTGGCAATCAGTGGGACATAATACTAATGGATGATGCACAATAAATGTTTAAAAAAGGTAACCAACATCCTAACTTCCATTTTTATTACTGTTTATTTATCTGATGCTAGGTTTGGCATTTTGCAGGGGCGACATAGGCACAAAAAGAGAAATCTTCATATTATTTTTTTTCTCTAATCTAAAGACTGTTGTACTGCCAATTCAAAATAGTGTTTCTCTACCTTAGCTAAGAAATCTGAACTTCAATTCCCAGAATTCCTCAACTAGCAAACTGGCAGCATGCAGTAACAGAGTTGGAAGGGACCTTGGAGGTCATCAAGTCCAACCCCCTGCTCAAGCAGGTAGACGTATACTAATTTCCGACAAATAGTTGTCCAGTCTCTTCTTAAAAGCTTCCAGGGATGGCGTACCCACATCTTCCGAAGGCAAATCTCATCCAAACTTCTTAGTTCCAGGTTGCTTCTCTTCTTGATTAGTTTCCATCCATAGTTTCTTTTCTTGCCGAACACCACGAAACGCCCCGCCTCTTTCCTGGTCAGCTGGAGCGGCCGCCTGAACAAGGAGCCGGAACTGAGTGGTGGTAAAGCTCAGCCAATTACAGCCGGGAAGAAAAGAAGCGGGCCCGACAAACAAAATGGCCCACGCAGTTTTGTTTTGATAGCTCGTGTTTCGCTCCGCTAGCTGCGTCCGCCAGTCGTTTCCTGGAAGCGCTTTCGGAGAGTCAGGTGAGCGCTGCCGGCGTCCGTCTGAATCTCGCATTTCAAGGGAGCGTTGCCTAGATTTGGAAGGGATCGCGAGGAATCCCATCACGCCCAGCCCGGACCTGATGGGTTTGTAGCCCAAAGCCTCTACCAGATTTCGAAGGAGACGCCCGAGCGCAATAAGTTTCGCTTTCGGTTTCTCTTTTTCAGAAGCGATCAGGTTTACTTTTAAGCTACCTTGGCAGAACTGGAATGCCAGAAAAGTGGGGAAAGTTTAGGGTTGTCATTCAGTCTTCCACCCGCTTAGTCTTTCCCTAGGATTCCGAGTCCCATAGTCCCCAGCAATCGCCCTCCGCTACCTCCTGGGATTCGATCGCTCCTTGCAGCCGAGAGGGACATTTCAAAGCGAAAAGCGATAGTTTGCCTGATGTTAACAGAATAACGAATTGGAAGGGACCTTGGAGATCTTGTAGTCCAACCCCCGGCTCAGGCAGGAGACCCTATACCATTTCAGACAAATGGTTGTCCAGTCTCTTCTTTAAAACTTCCAGTGTTGGAGCATTCACAGCCTCTGGAGGCAGGTTGTTCCACTAGTTAATTGTTCTGTCAGGAAGTTTCTCCTTACTTCTAGGTTGCTTCTCTCTTTGATTAGTTTCCATCTGTTGCTTCTTGTCCTGCCTTCAGGCGCCTTGGAAAATAGCTTGACTCCCTCTCAGCCCCTGAGAGATTGGAAGACTGCTATGATGTCTCCCCTCATCCTTTTCTTCATTAAACTAGACCAGGGGTATCTTTCCCTCTTTCCTCTCCCTCTCTTTTCTTTCCCTCTCTCTCTCTCTTTCCTCTCCCTCTCTCTCTTTCTCTCTCTCTGTCTTCTTTCCCTCTCTCTCTTTCTCTCCCCCCTCCCTCTCTCCAATCTTCTGCTCACCTGGCAAAGAGAGAGAGAGAGAGACATTGTTATTTGATGCTGTTATAGTGTGTTTTGGATGTTGTCTCAAAGACACACTACAAGAATATGTTGTTATTTGTTATTACTTATTAGCTGTTGTTACTTTATGTGTTTCATAAAAATAATATTATTTAATAATATTTTTGTTTTTAAAAAGTACTTTTAATCAATATCAGTTTCTGAAAAGTCTCTGTTTTCCGATGTTGAACTTCTACTTTTACATTTACAGACTTCAAGAGGAGTTTGAAGTGTAGCATAAACCAAGAACCAGTTTGATATAGAGGTTAAGGCAACCAGCTAGAAACCAAGAAAAGGTGAGTTCAAGTCCCACCTTAGCCATGAAAACCAGCTGGGTGACTTTGGGTCAGTCATTCCTTCTCAGTCCAACCCACAACCTTACAAGGTTGGGGTTGTGGGGATAAAGAAAAGAAGGAAGAAATATTAAGTATGTTCGCCACCTTATTTCTAAAAATAATAAAGATGAGGTAAAAATAAACAGAAGTAATCTTTCATATGGTCATGCTTAGCATCCTTAGCTGGCTCCGTGTTTGCCTTTTTCCAAATACCTATCAGATTATCTTTGTTTGATGCAGAAGTCTGAGGAACCTAATAAGCAGTTATGAAGGGCTAGTTATGTTGCAGGCCTTGAATCAATATTTTGGCAAATTCTCTGGAAATTCTGTAGTGCTCCATAACTTGCAGAATTTATTTCCAAAAAATGAGATTTTCTTTCTGGCTTCATTATAATTTTAAAACATTAAAATGTTCCATGAGATTTCTCTCCCCATATATACACAAAAAAATGGGAGTTTTCCTGGACTCGTTTGGCTGATTTGGGATCTAGAGGACAAAATCCTTTTACCAAAATATACCTGTGTTAGATTTCATTGGCCATATGAGGCAATGAGTTCTGAGAGACGTTACAAGTACTCCTTGACTTACAATTGAGCCCAAAATTCTATAGCTAACAAGACAGTTGTTAACTGTTATGCCCTTTTTACAACCTTTCATGCCACATTTTTAAGTGAATCGTTGTAGCTGTTAAATAAATAACAATTGTTAAATGAATCTGGTTTTCCCATTGACTTTGCTTGCCAGAAGGTCACAAACAGGAATCGTGAGACGCCAGGACACTGCCACTACCACCAATACAAGCCAGTTGCCAAGCATTCGAATTTTGATCTTGTGACCATGAGGTTGCTGCATGAAAAAGTGTGAAAAAGTCACTTTTTTCAGTACCATAGCAGCTTTGAACAGTCACTAAATGAATGGTTGTAAGTCAAGGACTACTTGTACTTTCCCCCCCCCAATTAACAACCCATTAAATTAAGGGTTTACTGTACATCCACTTCTTTTAAGTCTGGAACAAGGGGTGTTAGCAGAAAAGGAAAATCTTCATTTTTGACTGGGTTTCCCATCACTGTTTTAGGAATTGTAAAAGCAAAAATATGAACTTAGAATTCAGAATTTATATATGTATATATATATTTTTAGAAAATCCTTATGGAAACTAATCCTCTAAGGAAAAGATACAAAACTAGAAGCACGACAGCAGAATCAGTAGCCAAATCTCATATTGACTGGAGGCTGACTAAAAGATACATATTTCCTGAAAGTCAGGATGATGACGATGAAATTACATCCTCCTCCTCGTCAACGTCGTCATCATCATCGTCATCAGAAGAAGAAGAAAATCCCAAGTCCAGTTCGAAAGAAGATGTAGATGGAAAAGAAGAAGAGACTTCCATACTTAGCAAAAGGAACAGTGAGGCTGGGAGTGATACAGATTTTCAGAAAGGTGATGTGTCTTCAGAGGATCTGGAAGAAGGAAACATCTCCTTTGGAAAGAGGAAGAGACTTCGGGCAGCCTTGATATATGACAGTGACGAAAGCAGTGACAGTGATGTTCCTATGAAAGTGATCGCTAAAGGCAGGAACTTAATTAGCGAAGACGATTTATCTGTTGATGGGGAGTCACCTACATCCCCAGCAGAGAAAGCTGCAAATAAGAAGCGAGAAAGACACATAAAACTGCAAGAACTGTCTTTCCGGCAATCAAGAAAATCTGGCAAAGTCAATCAACATGATGAGGTACATTCCCAATTCATTTTCAAAACATATTTTCACACTTGCTTTTTCACGCTGGCCCACAGATGGATTTCACCTACTCCGTGTGAATTTAGAAGCATCTTTTTTTATTTAAATGATCCTAACACTAGGAAAGTAGCCATAAATTATTGGCTTGTGAGTGACTTTGTTTGATTACGTGCCATTGAGTACGTAATCTTGATGACGATGTTATCATTCAGTTGTGTCACAGGCTAGGTCTTTCCGTTATCAGACTTGTGGACTTTAACTCCCAGAATTCTAAGCCAGCATGGAATTCTGAGAGTTGAAGTCCACTAGTCATAAAAGGGCCATTGTTCCCCACCCCTGCTCCACATCTTCTGATCTTGCACTTCTACTCTTAATCAACTCTTAGTGACCACATAGACTTTTTCCATTATAATCTGTAACTCTTCCAACAATGTCATTGCTATTGTAACTGACTCCCTCCGCCTTGCTATTGGTTATCTTCTCTTTTCTTCCATCTTTCTCAGCATTAGAGCCTTCTCTAGAGAATTGGGTCTCCATATAACATTTCTGAAGTTGGATAATATGAACCTGATTATTTGTGTCTTCAATGGAAACTCTGGATTGATCTTTCAATAATCTATTTGTTTTCTTTGCTGTCCATAGTATTCACAGGAGTTTTCCCCAACCCCAAAATTAAAAAGCGTCTTCTTATCCTGCTTCTTTAAAGTCCAGCTTTCACTTTGATAGAGCATCACATGGAATGCCATTGTTTGCACAGTTCTGATCTTTGTAGATATTCTATTTATTGTTTTATATGACCACTCAATTCAAACTTTGCAATACCCAGGGGCCTAACATAAAACATATTGGTACAATATTCTCTATATACGCAGCAACATTACTTTAACATGAATTAATACTAACTCCATTCATGAAACACCAATGAATTCAACTAAAATATTCTATTAATACTGTGCCTTTTTTCATGTCACCAGAGAAGTGTAGATTATGACTTGGTACAATATGATGCTCACTCACTCCTCGCAGAAGAAGAAATCGGTGATGTGTCTGATAACGACAGCATGAAAGATTTCATCAGTAATGATGATGATGAAGAAGAGGAAAAGGAAGAAGAACAAGAGGAGAAGAAGTTGGAATGGGGCAACTTTAAGGAAGAAGAGCACCAGCATCAAGACAGAAAGCCTCATGAGGCCAGTAACTTATTGGAGAAACACGTTCAATCTGGTAAGGTCATAACATCAAATAAGAAGTAGCTTAAATATCTTTTCTACAGTATTTATTAGCACCTAGTCATTTATTCATGCGGGCTGTATTGACACATATTTCTGTTGATTTTTTTTTTTTTAACAGTGTCTGAGGTCAATCTTTATTTGCACTTTCAAAGAGTCGTAAAAGTCTTTCTCATCAATGCAATTGATGATACATTTCTGAGCTCCTTATATGGTAAGCAAGCACCCTTCCCAAAAAGGCTATTTGTTATCTTCTTTCATTTTTTTTCTCGGAGCAGTAAATAAATGCATTAGAGCGAATCCTTAACTTACTACCATTCATTTAGCAACCGTTTGATGTTATTGTGACGCTGAAAAAAGTGACTTACGACTCTTTGTCTAACTTACAACCAGGGCTTTTTTTTTTTTTCATAGAACGCCCAGAACAGAGTTCCGGCACCTTTTTTGGATGGAACCTTGTAGGGTAGGCAAGGCAAGGCAGGTTGTATGACGTGTGTGAATTCCGGCATCTGGGGGGTTTTTTTAGAAAAAAAGCACTGCATATAACCATCATAGCATCCCTACAAGTCAGGTTACAAAATTCAGGCAACCAGCATGTATTTACCATGGTTGCATTCTCCTGGGATTACATCAGAGTTGGGGAACGATGGCCCCTTTAGAACTGTGGACTTCAACTCCCAGCATAGCTGGCTCAGGAATTCTGGGAGTTGAAGTCCACAAGTCATAAAAGGACCATCACTCCCAACCCCTGGAGTACATGATTGCTACTCCCAGCCCACTTCCACCAAGCAAAGTCAATGGGAGAAATTGAATTCCCTTAAGGACTGTGTGACTCACTTAACAACCATGGCAAAAAGGTCATTAATGAGGCGCAACTCACTTAACAACCGCCTTCCTTAGCAACAGAACTTCTGTTTCCAATTGTGGTCGTAAGTTAAGGACTCCTTGTACTCTTTATAAAATTGTGATGTTACTAACAAGGCTTATTTATTTTCTCTCCAAAGAGGGGAAAAGACAAAAGAGATACGCACAGGATATGCTAACTTCCCTCGATTATTTGGATCACCGCATTATTCAGCCTCGCCTCAGTCTAGTTTCGGGATGTCGCTGGAAAGAACGATACATGGTACTAAATTTTCCACTTAATCTTTTGATTTAATTGCTTAGTTGATTTGACTCTGGCATTCAGATCCATGTGGTGTGTTATTTTTCTTAGTACAGTATGCAACAATGAAAAAGAGTAACCTATACAGGTAGTCCTCGACTTAAAACAATTTGTTTAATGACCGTTCAAAGTTACAAGAACACTGAAAAAAGGTAACTTACAACCATTTTTCACACTTATGACGGTTGCAGCATCCCCAAGATCACCTGGTCAAAATTCAGGTGCTGGGCAACCAGTCCATGTTTATGACAGTTGAAGTGTCCAGGGCCATGTGATCCCCTTTTGTCACCTAGCTATTCTCTAAAGCCCCTGAAGGCAGGACAAGAAGCAACCGATGGAAACTAATCAAGGAGAGAAGCAACCTAGAACTAAGGAGAAACTTCCTGGCAGTTAGAACAATTAACCAGTGGAACGACCTACTTCCAGAAGCTGTGAATGCTCCAACACTGGAAGTCTTTAAGAAGAGACTGGACAGCCATTTGTCTGAAATGGTAGGGTTTCCGCCCAAGCAGGGGGTTGAACTAGATGATCTCCAAGGTCCCTTCCAACTTCTATTATTACTATTATTATTATTATTATTCATACCTGACAAGCAAAATCAATGGGGAAACCAGATTCACTTAACAATCATGTTACTAACCTAATAACTGCAGTGATTCACTTATCAACTGTGGCAAGAAAGGTCATAACATGGGGCAAAATTCACTTAACACATGTTTCAATTAGCAACAGAAATTTTGGGCTCAGTTGTGGTCGTAAGTTGAGGACTCCCTGTAAACATATGTATCATAATGTCTATCAATAATGTAATGTGAATATACACTGCTTTTTCATACATTAAAATGTTTGGTGAATTCACCGAAAACTAGGTATTGACTGAGCCATATGCAAAGCATTCAAAAGGACTGCTGTATAAAGACTATTGGTTGGTTTCCTAAAAGGCTTGTAAAATTCTTCAGAGGCTGCCCCCAGTATTGGCTGTCAATCATGTGCAATCTCTGGGGTCAGTCTTTTAAGAAGCTATGTATGCTTTGCGAAGGATGTGGCTGCTTTAAAACTAAGAGAAGCTTGGTATGGAAATGCAAAGCTCACAATTTTGCAAGCAACTGGTGCTTAGCACTGAACTGTTCTGAGAGTTATAGTTATAGTCCTTAAAGCCCTACATAGTTTGGGACCATGTTTTCTGAAATAATGGTTTATTTTAGATTATTCCATTTGGAAGGATTCCCATATAGTGCCCTGGGCATGGCTGTGAGGGCTTGGTGCTTTTGGTATAATTCTGTTCTCTGAATTATAGTTCCTACCAAACTGATCCCCTTGTTATCATTTTAAAAAGTCTCAGAATTCTAGTTTTAAAGATTTTGAATTGCTGCTTCAAATCCAGGTAGTCCTCAACTTACAACAGTTCATTTAGTGACCGTTTGAAGTTACAACAGCACTGAAAAAAGTGACTTATGGCCGTTTTTCACACTTACGACCGTTGCAGCATCCCCAAGGTTACCTGATCAAAATTCAGGTGCTTGGCCACTGACTTGTATTTATGACGGTTGCAGTGTCCCAAGGTCATGTGGTCACATTTTGCAACCTGGCAGGCCAGGTCAAGGGGGAAGCCAGATTCATTTGACAACCATGTTAACTAATTTAACAACTGCAGTGATTCACTTAACAACCGTGGCAAGAACTCACATGACAAATGTCTCATTTAGCAATAGAAATTTGTGGCTCAGCTGTGGTCGTAATTTAAGGACAACCTGTATATTTGTAATACTTTAATGCAGGGGTGTCAACCTGCAGGCCCATGGGCCGGATGCGTCACACAGAAGCCGCATCCATCCCATTGCCAACAATAGCAAAATAGTCCCGATACGTTGCATGCATCCTGATTTAGTCCTTTTCTCATTTGCCTTAAAGAAACCTGAACTCCATTATGGTTGTAAGTCAAGGACTATCTAAATCTACGGTATATGAATGTGTAATATCTCCAAAATATTGTAACTCAATCCCTGGAGCTATCAATAACAGAATTTTAATTTTTCTAGACACGAGTGGACAGTTACTCTAATGTCCGCATAATTTCACAATGCTCAGAGATGCGTATTTGTGAAGCCTGTGAGCTGGACAGAGATTGTAAGTTTATAGTGGTTTTTTCTGGAGAACAGTACGATCCTATAACACTGAAAGTGGATGACTTCTTGTCCCACGATACACAGGTAGGCTTTGCTAATTACTGAAAAATGAACATATTTGTGTGTTTTAAAGTCTTTGTACTTTTTAGGCCCATTTTGTTCACAGGTTTCACATGTGGTATTTAAAAATAATGTCTGCCAGAGACGTAGTGTGCTCAATACCAAAATGGGAAAGTTGTTTCGTAGGTACCAGGATAGGATCATTACTCACTGTACCCATCAGTTTTTCCTTAAAAGAACCTTCAAAATTCACCTTTCCAAAATCTCTAGAGATTTCTCTGAATCTGAATTGCCTTTTCTGAAGTTCTAAAGCAGGGGTTGGGAACAATGGCCCTTTTATGACTTGTGGACTTCAATTCCCAGAATTCCTGAGCAAACCATGCTGGCTCAGGAATTCTGGGAGTTGAAGTCCACATGTCATAAAGTGGCCATCATTCCCCACCTCTGTTCTAAAATACCTGTTGTTCTTTCCATTTCCTATTTTTTTCAAATCTTGAGCCTTCCAATCTTTGTTTCATGTTTTCTTGTCTTTTAACTCTGATTATCTCTTGTCTGTTAGCTCATTACGAGGGGGCATGACGGCTCAACGGTTAAAGACATTGAGCTTGTCAACTAACAGCCTTCATTCGAGACTTGAGTGCAATGCAATAGAGTCAGCTCTCATTCTTGCCCCAGCTCCCGCCCACCTAGCAATATGAAAGCATGCAAATGTGAGTGGATAAATAGGTACCATTTCGGTGGGAAGTAAACAGCATTCTGTGCACCTTTGGTGTATAGCCATGCTGGCCACATGGTTATGGAAATTGTTTTTGGACAATGCCAGCTTCCTCGGACAAAGAAATGGAGATGAGCCCCGCCCCCTAGAGTCAGGCATGACTGACAGGGAAATCTTTGTTTTTTTATTAGTTTAATAAAGGTAAAGGATTCCCCTGTCCAATCATCTCCGACTCTAGCTCACCTCCGTTTTTTTGCCTTCCTGAAAGATTTGTTTTTTACATTGTTTTCCACTTCAGATCCAAATACTATAATACAGTTCATGCTATTTATTGTTTATTTCTATCAGCAACCAAGAATAATCAGAGTCACTTCCTTGAAATAAGTGCTAATAAACTTGCATGCAAGAATTTTTTTTATAATATTTGTGTATCATAAACTTCTTGTGAAATTCCTTTTTGAAGAATTTTTTTACTGTACCTACTGATTCAGAGTGGAAACTAGGGTTGACGTTTAACATTGTATTATCATACTGTACTACTTTATTTACTGCCCAGTCTTTACAAAGTCTTCTATAAAACTTAGATAAATGTATATAGAAAGTCTCAAATTTAAAACCCGGCTCAATTTTGAAATCTTTTTTCTATTGACATTTTGTTTTTCTGAATGCACAACCCAACATTGCCGAAAATGAAAATGCTAGATATTGGCTTAATTCAGAACAGCAGTAAATATTTAAAAATAATGGTTTTTTTCTGATATTTATGTGCAAAGAAAGTAACTAATCTTACATAGCTGGATAATTAAGTAAACAGAAGTGAATTGGTCCATTTAAATGATTTTATAATGTGAGAACTATGTACTTTGAAGCAACATTTTGTCCAATTCCTTTCTGCACTAACAGCATCTGCTGCCCATATGTACAGCTTTAACGTAGTGAGTATTTGCTGGGCTCCTAATTCTCTGTTCCCAAATTCTCTAATATGAAGTGACTACTTAACTAACTAATTTCAGTGTTTACTACTGTTATTAGAATATACCCACTAAAAGAACTTACGTTTCTGCAGAGGTTGAAGGTTGGTGTTGTATGTCAAAAGCGTACCCAGGTTTATCACGATCTGAAGCACTATAAATATAAGTTGTATCAGAAATGCTGTTCAGCTATAAAAGAGGAATATCGTCAAGATGAGCCAGCCAAAGAGTTAGTGAAACGAGTTTTCAGTCAATTGAATGAAGACAACTGGATATGTAAGGTAACTCAAGTTTGTTGGAAATGCATTGCTTATGGATTAAGTGAAAGACCGAAGGGTTTCTTATAACATCTAAGAAGAATTAGACGTAGTCTTTGACTTACAACCACAACTGAGCCCAAAATTTATGTGTCTAAGTGAGACATTTGTTAAGTGAATTTTGCCCCATTTTACAAGTGAATCTGGTTTACCCTTTGACTTTGCTTGTCAGGTCGCAAAAGGTGATCACATGATCCTGGGACATCCCAACTATCATAAATATAGAGTCAGTTGCCAACTGTCTGAATTATGAGTGTCCCCAGGTCATGTGATCAATTTTTGTGACCTTCTGAAAAGCACAGTCAATGGGGAAGCCGGATTAACTTAACAACTGTGTTACTAATTTGACAGCTGTGGTGATTCGCTTAGCAGCTGGGGCAAGAAAGACTGTAAAATGGACAGTCTCACTTAGCAACAGAAATTTTAGTCTCAGATGTAGTCATAAGTTGAGGACTCCCTGTACTTAAAATTTTATATACTTAAACTTAGAATTTGAAATGATTCACAATAGTGTTTTTCTTCTTCTTCTTCTTCTTTTTTTTTTTGCAGGAATATTCTGTCCTTGAAAGCTATCTGGATGAAGCAGAAGAATTCCATGAATTTTTAAAAGATTTTAAAAGAGAAATCCTTTCATTTGTGCAACGCTGATGGATTTTTTACCTCTATATCGCATTTCTGCTATTTTTTTTTTCATTTATAGTTCACTCTGGCATGCAAATATATGTGCTAAATTTCTTTGTTTTCTACCTTGTTTTAATTATCAAAATAATCTTCCAAATAGAAATTTTATAGAGGAAGACCCTTGAGGGCTGGATTGCTCATCGAACTATCCTAAAATCAAACTGCACATTCACTCAACAAATGAATTTTTATGCACAGGCACTTTCTTCAAAGATAAAATTTTCTGTGTTGCTTTATGACTCTTTTGGTCTTCGTCTCTTAGTATCATATTTTCTACATTTAGTTTAATTTTTTCAAATAATCTTCGTAAAACCTTCAGTCTTATGCTTCCTGCAGATACAGAATTCAAGGATTTTATTACCAGTGATTGTCAGAGGAAGAAATGTAGAAAGGAGCTGCCCTTAATTTTTCAGGCAGTTAAAACTACGTACATTACACTATAAAAAAATAAATTAATTGTAAGTGCACATACCTTCCATGTGTCCAGCTTGCAAAATCAGGACAAAAACATATTCGGCCTATTTGGAGCAGAGGTGTCAAACTGGCGGCCCACAGGCCAGATGTGTCATGCACAGGCCACACCCACTCCGCCTCCGCAAAGGCAAAAAACGTCACGATACGTCACATGACGCGATCGAGTTTGACACCCGTGATTTAGAGGATGAACAATTTGATTTTTATGTCAAAAGTAATTTAAACTGGAAATGTTGATGACTGGGCACAGTCTGCAACAGCCTTGTCATGAAATAAAAAGTATGAGGATTCCCAGCACAGCCCAATCTACAGGTAGTCCTCGATTTAACAGCTGCTCATTTAGTGATCATTCAAAGTTACAGTGCCACTAGAAAAAGTGATTTATGACCATTTTTCAGACTTACGACCTTTGCAACAGCCCTGTGATCCTGAGATCAAAATTCAGATGCTTGGCAACTGCTTCATACTTATGACCGTCGCAGTGTCCCAGGGCCATGTGACTACCGTTTGCAACCTTTTGCCAAGCTGAATCAATGGGAAGCCAGATTCACTTAACAACCGTGTAAGTAACTTATCAACTGCAGTGATTTGCTTAACAACTGTGACAAGAAAGGTTGTCGCACTTCGCAGCAGAAATTTTGGGCTCAATTGTGGTCATAAGTCAAGAACTATTTGTATTTTGATATTATTTTTATCTATAGTGCATCCCCAAGACATTGTCATTTTCATAATGTGGCACTTTATCTAAGATACGAACCACAGAAACCTACTGCTCCATGTTTCTCCTGTAACGATGGCCAAACCGTGAATTGGCGCAGCCAAATGCTGAGTTGGTTTTGCCCTGAAGCGAAATAGCCAACTAGAGGTAGTCCTTGACTTATGACCAAAATTGAGCAGTTTCTGTTACTAAGTGAGACAGTTGTTAAATGACTTTTGCCTCATTGTACAACTTTTCTTGCCACAGTTGTTAAGTGATTCCCTGCAGTTGTTAAGTCGGTTACATGGTTGTTAAGTGAAACTGGCTTCCCCACTGAATTTGCTTAACCAAAGATTCCCAAAGGGGATCACATGACCCCGGGACACTGTAACCATCATAAATATGAGTCAGTTGCCAAGCATCCGAATTTTGATCATGTGAGCCTGGAGATCCTGCAACAGTCGTAAGGGTGAAAAACAATCTAAGTTACTTTTTCAGTACCGTTGTAATTTCAAACCGTCACTAAATTAATGGTTGTAAGTCAAGGACAACCTGCATCTCACAAGGTGGGAAATTACAACCTTTTTATTCTGTATAGCTAGCCAGTTCTAGAGTAGGTTTCCAAAACTCAAATCATCTCCATCAACCTTCCCTAACCACGTTGTGTCCAGATATCTTGGAATACAATCTCACTGTTTCCAGATAGCCCATTTGAAAAAGAAAGGAAGTTATATAGCATATGGGACTCTGTTACATATTTGACTGGTGGGACTCAGTGCAATCAGTGGGACGTATTTCTAATGGATGATGCACAATAAATGATTAAAAAAGGTAACCAACATCCTAACTTTCATTTTTATTTATTTATCTGATGCTAGGTTTGGCATTTTGCAGGAACAACATGGAACAAAAAGAAAAACGTTCATATTATATTTTTCTCTGATCTAAGGACTGTTGTAGTGCCAATTCAAAAGAGTGTTTCTCCATCTTAGCAACTTTAACCAACATACTGGCAGCATGTAGTAACAGTTGGAAGGGACCTCGGAGGTCATCTAGTCCAACCCCCAGCTCAAGCAGGAGATGTATACTAATTTCTAACAAATACTTGTCCAGTCTCTTCTTAAAAGCTTCCAGGGATGGCATACCCACACCTTTCCGAAGGCAAATCTCATCCAAGCTTCTTGGATGAGAAGCGAAACGTCACGTCTTCAAAAAAAACACAAGAAAGTCCAATTGCCTCCTGAAAAAAGCGCCTTTGGGAAAGTCCCCCCTTAATTGCAGGTTGCCTCTCTTCTTGATTAGTTTCCATCCATAGTTTCTTTTCCTGACTTCAGGCGCCTTGGTAAATAAATTGGCCCAAGTGAAGTCCAGACATCTCAAGATTGCCAAAACTACATATATTCACAACCTTTAAACAAATAAACTGTAATCTAAAACACCAGAGATTGGTGTAAATTACACATCCTTTAGAAAACTCCACCCAGGGTGAGAGCGCGAACACCACGAAACGCCCCGCCTCTTTCCTGGTCAGCTGGAGCGGCCGCCTGAACAAGGAGCCGGAACTGAGTGATGGTAAAGCTCAGCCAATTACAGCCAGGAAGAAAAGAAGCGGGCCCGACAAACAAAATGGCCTACGCAGTTTTGTTTTGATAGCTCGTGTTTCGCTCCGCTAGCTGCGTCCGCCAGTCGTTTCCTGGAAGCGCTTTCGGAGAGTCAGGTGAGCGCTGCCGGCGTCCGTCTGAATCTCGCATTTCAAGGGAGCGTTGCCTAGATTTGGAAGGGATCGCGAGGAATCCCATCACGCCCAGCCCGGACCTGATGGGTTTGTAGCCCAAAGCCTCTACCAGATTTCGAAGGAGACGCCCGAGCGCAATAAGTTTCGCTTTTGGTTTCTCTTTTTCAGAAGCGATCAGGTTTACTTTTAAGCTACCGTGGCAGAACTGGAATGCCAGAAAAGTGGGGAAAGTTTAGCCTTGTCATTCAGTCTTCCACCCGATTAGTCTTTCCCTAGGATTCCGGGTCCCATAGTCCCCAGCAATCGCCCTCCGCTACCTCCTGGGATTCGATCGCTCCTTGCAGCCGAGAAGTACATTTCAAAGGACATCTTCGCAGGGATACCGTCAAGCGAAAAGCGATAGTTTGCCTGATGTTAACAGAATAACAACAGATTGGAAGGGACCTTAGAGATCTTCCTGTAGTCCAACCCCCAGCTCAGGCAGGAAACCCTATACGATTTTAGACAATCTCTTTTTTAAAACTTCCAGTGTTGGAGCATTCACAGCTTCTGGAGGCAGGTTGTTCCACTGGTTAATTGTTCTAACTGTCAGGAAATTTCTCCTTACTTCTAGGTTGCTTCTCTCTTTGATTAGTTTCCATCCTTTGCTTCTTGTCCTGCCTTCAGGTGCTTTGGAGAATAGCTTGACCCCCTCTTTGTAGCAGCCCCTGAGATATTGGAAGACTGCTATGATGTCCCCCCTCATCCTTCCCTTCATTAAACTAGACATCCCCAATTCCAGCAACCGTTCCTTGTATGTTTTAGCCTCCAGTCCCCTGATCATCTTTGTTGCTCTTCTCTGCACTCTTACTAGAGTCTCAACTTATTTTGTTTCTTCCTCTTCTTCGCATCATCTTTTACCACTTCAGGTGTCGACCCAGATCCAAAATTCTGATTCCTGCACTTCTGGCAGCCCCAGCCATTGTTATTTGATGCTATTATAGTGTGTCTTGGATGTTGTCTCAAAGACACACTACAAGAATATGGTGTTATTTGTTGCTACTTATTAGCTGTTGTTACTTGGTGCGTCTCATGAAAATAATATTTAATAATATTTTTGTTTTTAAAAAGTACTTTTAATCAATATCAGTTTCTGAAAAGTCTCTGTGTTCCGATGTTGAACTTCTACTTTTACATTTACAGACTTCAAGAGGAGTTTGAACCAGTTTGATCTAGGAGTTAAGACACCAGCTAGAAACCAAGAAAAGGTGAGTTCAAGTCCCACCTTAGCCATGAAAACCAGCTGGGTGACTTTGGGTCAGTCATTCCTTCTCAATCCAACCCACAACCTTACAAGATTAGGGTTGTGGGGATAAAGAAAAGAAAGAAGAAATATTAAGTAAGTTTGCCACCTTATTTCTGAAAATAATAAAGATGAGGTAAAAATAAACAGAAGTAATCTTTCATATGGTCATGCTTAGCATCCTTAGCTGGCTCCGTGTTTGCCTTTTTCCAAATACCTATCAGATTATCTTTGTTTGATGCAGAAGTCTGATGAATCTAATAAGCAGTTATGAAGGGCTAGTTATGTTGCAGGCCTTGAATCAATATTTTGGCAAATTCTCTGGAAATTCTGTAGTGCTCCATAACTTGCAGACTTTATTTCCAAAAATGAGATTTTCTTTCTGGCTTCATTATAATTCATTAAAATGTTCCATGAGATTTCTCTCCCCATATATACACAAAAAATGGGAGTTTTCCTGGACTCGTTTGGCTGATTTGGGATCTAGAGGACAAAATCCTTTTACCAAAATATACCTGTGTTACATTTCATTGGCCATATGAGGCAATGAGTTCTGAGGGACGTTACAAGTACTCCTTGACTTACAATTGAGCCCAAAATTCTGTAGCTAACAAGACAGTTGTTAACTGTTATGTCCTTTTTACAACCTTTCATGCCACAGTTTTTAAGTGAATCGTTGTAGCTGTTAAGTAAATAACAATTGTTAAATGAATCTGTTGTGTGAAAAAGTCACTTTTTCAGTACCATAGTAGCTTTGAACAGTCACTAAATGAACAGTTGTAAGTCAAGGACTGCTTGTACTTCTTCCCCCAATTAACAACCCGTTAAATTAAGGGTTTACTGTACATCCACTTCTTTTAAGTCTGGAACAAGGGGTGTTAGCAGAAAAGGAAAACCTCCATTTTTGACTGGGCTTCCCATCACTGTTTTAGGAATTGTAAAAGCAAAAATATGAACTTAGAATTCAGAATTTATATATGTATATATATATATTTTTTTTAGAAAATCCTTATGGAAACTAATCCTCTAAGGAAAGGATAGAAAACTAGAAGCATGACAGAAGAATCAGTAGCCAAATCTCATGTTGACTGCAGGCGGACTAAAAGATACATATTTCCTGAACATCAGGATGATGACAACGAAATTACATCCTCCTCCTCGTCAACGTCATCATCGTCATCATCATCATCAGAAGAAAATCCCAAGTCCAGTTTGAAAGAAGATGTAGATGGAAAAGAAGAAGAGACCTCCATACTTAGCAAAAGGAACAGTGAGGCTGGGAGTGATGCAGATTTTCAGAAAGGAGGCAGTGAAGTGTCTTCAGAGGATCTGGAAGAAGGAAACATCTCCTTTGGAAAAAGGAAGAGACCTTGGGCAGCCATGATATATTACAGTGATCAAAGCAGTGACAGTGATGTTCCTAGGAAAGTGATCGCTAAAGGCAGGAACTTAATTAGCAAAGACGATTTATCTGTTGATGGGGAGTCACCCACAGCCCCAGCAGAGAAAGCTGCAAATAAGAAACAAGAAATACACATAAAACTGCAAAAACTGTCTTTCCCGCAATCAAGAAAATCTGGCAAAGTCAATCAACGTGATGAGGTACATTCCCAATTCATTTTCAAAAACATTTTCACACTTGCTTTTTCACGCTAGCCCACAGATGGATTTCACCTACCCTGTGTAAATTTAGAAATTTATAAAGTTGGAAGGGACCTTGGAGATCATCAAGTGCAACCCCTTGCTCAGGCAGGTAACCCTATACCATTTCGGACAAATAGCTGTCTAGTTTCTTCTTAAAAACTTCCAGTGTTGGAGCATTCACAGCTTCTGGAGACAGGTTGTTCCACTGGTTAATTGTTCTCACTGTCAGGAAGTTTCTCCTTAGTTCTAGGTTGCTTCTCTCCTTGATTAGTTTCCATCCATTGCTTCTTGTCCTGCCTTCAGATGTTATCCATTCAGTTGTGTCATAGGCCAGGTCCCTCAGAAATTCTGGGAGTTGAAGTTCAAAAGTCATAAAAGGGCCATCGTTCCCCACCCCTGCTCCACATCTTCTGATCTTGCACTTCTCTGAGTCTTAATCAACTCTTAGTGACCACATGGACCTTCTCCATGACAATCTGTAACTCTTCCAACAATGTCATTGCTATTGTAACTGACTCCCTCCACCATGATGTTGGTTATCTTCTCTTTTCTCCCACCTTTCTCAGCATTAGAGCCTTCTCTGGAGAGTTGGGTCTCCACATAACGTGTCTGAAGTTGGATAATATGAACTTGATTATTTGTGTCTTCAATGGAAACTCTGGATTGATCTTTCAATAATCTATTTGTTTTCTTTGCTGTCCATAATATTCTCGGGAGTTTTCCCAATCCAAAATTCAAAAGCCTCTTCTTGTCCTGCTTCTTTATAATCCAACTTTCACTTTGATAGAGTATCACACAGAATACCATTGTTTGCACAGTTTTGATCTTTGTAGATATGCTTATTGTTTTATATATCAACTCAAACTTTACAATACCCAGGGACCTAACATAAAACAAACTGGTACTGTATTCTCTATGTACACAGCAACATTACTTTAACATGAATTAATACTAACTCCATTCATGAAACACCAATGAATTCAACTAAAATATTCTATTAATACTGTGCCTTTTTTCATGTCACCAGGGAAGTGTAGATGATGACTTGGTCCAACATGATGCTCACTCACCCTTCACAGAAGAAGGTGATGTGTCTAATAAAGACAGCATGAAAGTTTTCATCAGTGATGATGAAGAAGAGGAAGAAGAAGAAGAAAAAGAAGAGGAGTGGGAATGGGGGAACTTTGAGGAAGAAGAGCCCCAACATCAAAACAGACAGCATTGTAGGGCCAGTAACTTATTGGAGAAACATGTTCCATTCGGTAAGGTCACAACAACAAATAAGAAGTAGCTTAAATATCCTTTCTATAGTATTTATTAGCACCTAGTCATTTATTCATAAGGGCTGTACTGATACATATTTGTGTCGATTTTTTTTTTAACAGTGCCTTTGGTCGATCATTATTTGCACTTTCAAAGAGTCGTAAAAGCCTTTCTCATCAATGCAACTGATGATACATTTTTGAGCTCCTTATATGGTAAGCAAGCACGCCTTCCAAAGAGGCTGTTTGTTATCCTCTTTCAATTTTTTTCTCGGAGCAGTAAATAAATGCATTAGAGAGAATTCTTAACTTACTACCATTCATTTAGCAACCATTTGACATTATTGTAGTGCTGAAAAAAGTGACTTCGTCTAACTTACAACCATCACAGCCTCCCCACAAGTCAGGTTATCCAAATTCAGGCAACCTGCATGTATTTACCATGGTTTTATTGTCCTGGGATTACATCAGAGATGGGGAACAATGGCCCCTTTATGACTTTGTGGACTTCAACTCCCAGAATTCCTGAGCCAGCCACTTAGCAGCCATGGCAAAAAGGTCATTAATGAGGCGCAACTCATTTAACAACCCCCTTGCTTAGCAACAGAACTTCATTGTGGTCATCAGTTGAGAACTCCTTGTACTCTTTATAAAATTGTAATGTTAATAACAAGGCCTATTTGTTTTCTCTCCAAAGAGGGGAAAAGACAGAACAGATTTGCGCAGGATTTGCGAACTTCCCTCTATTATTTGGATCACCACTTTATTCAGCCTCGCCTTGAAAGTCTAGTTTCCGGATGTTGCTGGAAAGAACGATACAAGGTACTAAATTTTCCTCTTAATCTTTTAATTTAATTGCTTAGTTTAAGGGTCCCCAATCTATGGGCCATGGCCCGGAACTTGGCCAATGGGCCGTGGAAATGGCTGACTGATGTGCACACGCATGGGCGCGCATCCCCCCACTCGCGCTAGTGCCACGCCCCTTTTGCACATGCACATGGGCGTGAAGGGCTGCTAGCGCCAGGTGGGTGGGTGTGGCCAATTTGCTCATGCGTGGACAGGGCCGCTAGCTGCCGCGGGGGGTTGTATGGCTGTTTATGTATGCACATGGTGCCAGTGCATGCCGCATGGGTGAACCGAGCTCTGGCCCCGTTTGCATGCGCACATGCACCAATTTGGAAGCTGCTCCCCTTCCCTCCGGGCCATGAGCCCAGAAAGGTTGGCGACCTCTGGCTTAGTTGATTTGGCTTTGGCATTCAGATCCATATGGTGTGTTATTTTTCTTAGTACAATATGCCACAATGAAAAAGAGTAACCTATACAGGTAGTCCTCGACTTAAAACAATTCGTTTAGTGACCGTTCGGAGTTACAAAAGCACTGAAAAAAAGGTGACTTAAGATCATTTTTCACACTTAACCGTTGCAGCATCTCCAAGGCCACCTGATCAAAATTCAGGTGCTTGGCCACTGACTTGTATTTATGATGGTTGCAGTGTCCCAGGGTCATGTGGTCACATTTTGTAACATTCTGGCAAGCCAAGTCAAGGGGGAAACCAAATTCATTTGACAACCATGTTACTAACTTAACAACTGCAGTGATTCACTTAACAACTGTGGCAAGAAAGGTCGTAAAATGAGGCAAAAATCACATAAAAATGTCTCATATAGCAACAGAAATTTGGGGCTCAATTGTGGTCGTAAGTGAGGACAACCTGTATATTTGTAATACTTTAATGCCTCCTGATTTAGTACTTTTCTCATTTGCCTTGAAGAAACTTGAACTCCATTATGGTTGTAAGTCAAGGACTATCTAAATCTATGGTATATGAATGTGTAATATCTCCAAAATGTTGTAACTCAATCCCTGAAGCTATTAACAATACAATTTTTATCAACTGTATTTTTCTAGACACGAGTAGACGGTTACTCTGATGTCCGCATAATTTCAGAACCCTCAGAGACGCGTATTTGTCAAGCCTGTGAGCTAGACAGAGATTGTAATTTTATAGTGGTTTTTTCTGGAAAACAGTACATTCCTAAAACACTGACAGTGGATGACTTCCTGTCCCACAATACACAGGTAGGCTTTGCTAATTCCTGAAAAGCGAATGTATTTGTGTGTTTTAAAGTCTTTGTACTTTTTAGGGCTATTTTGTTCACATGTTTCACCTGTGGTATTTAAAAATAATGTCTGCCAGAGACGTAGTGTGCTCAAAACCAAAATGGGAAAGGTGTTTCATAGGTACCGTGATAGGATCATTACTCACTGTACCCATCAGTGTTTCTTTAAAAGAACCTTCAAAATTCACCTTTCCAAAATCTCTAGAAATTCATCTGAATTGCCTTTGCTGAAGTTCTAAAGCAGGGGTTGGGAACAATGGCCCTTTTATGACTTGTGGACTTCAACTCCCAGAATTCCTGAGCCAACCATGCTGGCTCAGGAATTCTGGGAGTTGAAGTCCACATGTCATAAAGTGGCCATCATTCCCCACCTCTGTTCTAAAATATTTGTTGTTCTTTCCATTTCCTAATTTTTTCAGATCTTGAGTCTTCCAATCCTTGTTTCATGTTTTCTTGTCTTTCTTTTAACTCTGATTATCTCTTGTCTGTTAGCTCATTACGAGGGGGCATGACGGCTCAACGGTTAAAGACATTGAGCTTGTCAACTAACAGCCTTCATTCGAGACTTGAGTGCAGTACAATAGGGTCAGCTCTTATTCTTGCCCCAGCTCCCGCCCACCTAGCAATATGAAAGCATGCAAATGTGAGTAGATAAATAGGTACCATTTCGGTGGGAAGTAAACAGCATTCTGTGCACCTTTGGTGTATAGCCATGCTGGCCACATGGTTATGGAAAGTGTTTTTGGACAATGCCAGCTTTACTGTAACCTACTGATTCAGAGTGGAAACTTGGGTTGACGTTTAACAGTGTATTATTATACTGTACTATTTTATTTACCTGCCCTGCCCAGTTTTTATGAAGTCTTATATAAAACTTACATAAACGTATATAGAAAGTCTCAAGTTTAAAACCCGGCTCAATTTTCAAATCTTTTTTCCATTGGCATTTTGTTTTTCTGAATGCACAACCCAAACACTGCCGAAAATGAAAATGAAAATGCTAGATATTGGCTTAATTCTGAATAGCAGTAAATATCTAAAAATAATTCTTTTTTTTTCCTGATATTTATGTGCAAATGAAGTAACTAACCTTACATAGCTGGGTAATTAAGTAAACAGAAGTGAATTGGTCCATTTAGAAGCTGTGATGACTTTATTATGTGAGAACTATGCACTTTGAAGCAACATTTTGTCCAATTCCTTTCATGCATCTGCTGCGCATATGTAGAACTTTAACTTACTGAGTATTTGCTGGGCTCCTAATTCTCTGTTCCCAAATTCTCTAATACGAAGTGACTGCTTAGATTTTTGCTGGGATGACTGTTCTACTGTGTAAACTGAGGGATTTCTGTTTTGATATTCAGTAACTCGTTAAAAAAAAATTCTTGCAATTCATGTAACAGTTGAACAAGATAGTCCTTGTGACTTGGTGATAATAAATGCAACAAAGAAGTTATCTTTTTTATTCATACTTTCAAATGTCAGCCAACTGCACTGGTGCCAATATTTTTTTTAAAAAGTAATTGCTTGTTATTTTTCTTGAACAAAAAAGTTAGACTCAATCAACATCACAATTGTCTTCATCAAAATAGGTGCAGGAGTTGCTTTCTAACTAGGATTGCATTAGTGGGTAATAATAAAAGTCCTGTCTATGTTAAATCATCTTACTTTATAGGACATTCATTCTTGCTTAACTATTTTCAGTGTTTACTACTGTTATTCAGAATATATCCACTAAAAGAACTTATGTTTCTGCAGAGGTTGAAGGTTGATGTTGTATGTCAAAAGCGTACCCAGGTTTATCACGATCTGAAGCACTATAAATATAAGTTGTATCAGAAATGCTGTTCAGCTATAAAAGAGGAATATCGTCAAGATGAGCCAGCCAAAGAGTTAGTGAAACGAGTTTTCAGTCAATTGAATGAAGACAACTGGATATGTAAGGTAACTCAAGTTTGTTGGAAATGCATTGCTTATGGATTAAGTGAAAGACCGAAGGGTTTCTTATAACATCTAAGAAGAATTAGACGTAATCTTTGACTTACAACCACAACTGAGCCCAAAATTTATGTGTCTAAGTGAGACATTTGTTAAGTGAATTTTGCCCCATTTTACAAGTGAATCTGGTTTACCCTTTGACTTTGCTTGTCAGAATGTCGCAAAAGGTGATCACATGATCCTGGGACATCCCAACTATCATAAATATAGAGTCAGTTGCCAACTGTCTGAATTATGAGTGTCCCCAGGTCATGTGATCAATTTTTGTGACCTTCTGAAAAGCACAGTCAATGGGGAAGCCGGATTAACTTAACAACTGTGTTACTAATTTGACAGCTGTGGTGATTCGCTTAGCAGCTGGGGCAAGAAAGACTGTAAAATGGACAGTCTCACTTAGCAACAGAAATTTTAGTCTCAGATGTAGTCATAAGTTGAGGACTCCCTGTACTTAAAATTTTATATACTTAAACTTAGAATTTGAAATGATTCACAATAGTGTTTTTCTTCTTTTCTTCTTTTCTTTTTTTGCAGGAATATTCTGTCCTCTACAGATATCTGGACAAAGTAGAGGAATTCCATAAATTTTATGAAGATTTTAAAAGGAACATCCTTTCATTTGTGTGAGGCTACTGATGGGTTTTTACCTCTATACCTCATTTCTGCTATTATTCTTTTTTATTTATGGTTTACTCTAGCATGCAAATATATGTGCTAAATTTCTTTTTTTTTCTACTTTATTTTAATTATCAAAATAATCTTCCTAATATAAATTATGTAAAGAAAGACCCTTGAGGGCTGGATCGCTCATCGAACTATCCTAAAATCAAATTGCACATTCATTCAACAAATGATTTTTTTCTGAAATGTATTACACAGGCACTCTCTTCAAAGATAAAATTTTCTATGTTGCTTTTTGACGCTTTTGCTCATTGTCTCTTAGTATCATATTTTCTACAAATTCTATAAACTTTAGTTTATTTTTTTCAGTCTTCGTAAAGCCTGCAGTCTTATCCTTCCTGCTGATACAGAATTCAAGGATTTTATTATCAGTGATGTCAGAGGAAGAAACATAGGAAGGAGCTGCCCTTAATTTTTCAGACGCTTAAAAGTGATGGCGCAAAATTTCTATCTTGCAAAATTCTATTAATGTAGCCTTACAATAAAGTAGATTTAGCTGAACTAATCATGTTTCCTGACTGGTTTTACTGCAGAGAGTGGATATCTATCCACATTTCAGATTTTCTAGTTTCAAAACTCTTGAACCTTGTAGATTCATTCATAATCAACCAGGGAAATGATCATTTAGGGCTATACCCCTCTCTTCATATTTTCATTGTGGCCTGTGAAGAGCCATAGCTTGTTGGAAGAGCATGTATTCCTGGCACCTCACTAAAGCAGAAAAGGCTCATTTTGGACATGTGTGTATCACATTGTCATCCCCAAAACTATCTCCATGTAAGAGAAGGTTAGAAAACTCTTTGTCAGTTAACATCAACAATACTGAACTATATGAATCAGGTGTAACTTATAAAAAGGAACCTGAATGCAAATGTTTCTCAAGCTCAGCGACTTTTAGATGGGCAGACATCAGCTCCAGAATTTCCCAGCCACATATGCTTTGACTACTTCTCATTTGTGCTATGTCCTCATTGTATTACCCTCGTTTTTTGTTTTTTGTTTTGGTAAGCCTATGACTGAAGTAGCCTTAAGTCATTCTTAACTCATCTGGGTATTCAAGCAGTATTTTTCCTTTTCAGCTAATAGCATAAAGTCTTAAAATGTTATACAGTTTGCCACTCATTGTAACTGAGACATAGTTAGGTGAACTGTAAATAGAATTTGCACCCTGCCTACAACAATCTGATGTGGGTGGTTGTCCTTCTGATTTGGGGGTCAACCTCATTTGCTGCCATCTGCTGTTGTCTGCATAAGGAGTTGGACACAATGACATTGAACACTTAATAGACTGAGCCTAAAAAGTGACAGTGAAATAACTATCTTCCTACAATCTCCTGAATAGACCATGTAAGAATCTGAAAGTTGGTTTCTGTTGCCTACATGCAGAAAAGTAGAGGTGAAATGAAAGTCCTACTTATGAATGTGATGCATCCATACCTAGAAAGATCAGAATTCTGTTGGCAATGGTTTTCTTTGTGACTCTCTCTGCAAGCAAAACTTAGACTTTGAAGAAGCACAGTATGGAAGAGTCTTGATGCTTTGGAACTTTATGAGCCATGGTGGCGCAGTGGTTAGAATGCGGTATTGCAGGCTAATTCTGTTGACTGCCAGGGGTTTGATCCTCACGGACTCAAGGTTGACTCAGCCTTCCATCCTTTTGAGGTTGGTAAAATGAGGACCCAAATTGTTGGGGGCAATAGGCTGACTGTAAACCACTTAGAAAGGGCTATAAAGCACTACAAAGTGGTATATAAGTCTTATTGCTATTGCTAAAGAACCAGCAATGAGGTGGATGGCGTCCAATGTGGTGAGTGTACACTGTTGAGAAATCTGAAGGTCCAGATTGGAGACATACCATCCTGGAGAAAAGCTACGTACCGAGGTGGCCACCAACAGTCAACTCCGGTTTGATGGCCCACAATCAAAGATGTGTTTACCTAATTCACTCTATGACTCCAAATTATTGTTTCTAAACTTTGTTCAACTCAAATGGGGAGTAGGATACCGAGCCTGAGAATGAGCGTAGAGATGACAAAGCTGTCATGAGCCAGACCCATTGCATTCAGACTCCAGGATTGTGGTTGGCAGATGTTCCTCCCACTGAAAAGGAGAGGAAGCAAAGCCAGAGCAATCAACAACTGCTTTGTGCATGCAAGATCAGACAGCTCCCCTCGGCAATGAGTTGGATCAGAGGCAATAGAGGCAGGACAGGGATTAGCTGCAAGGACAGAAAATTTCACGCTGGCATAGTTTTCTGCTGATTCAAGGCAGGGTAGAGAGCTTTTAACTCCACCACCAGGAATGATCCTCTGCTGTGTATGTGACATTTAAAAGAAGGTGGATGTTAGATGCACCGACAAATCTCATTTATATTAGAGGGGTGGGAGTCTTACATACAAAGAAAGAAACTTTGATTTGCACCAATTCGAAAGATCCACTTTTATGTTTAAACTACTTTCCTAAAGAAATGGGATGTATCTGTGTTTGTTTCTGCCCCTTTTGTGGCAATTACTTTAAGCACTAATAAAGGAGAGTATTTGTAGCTCAGGGCTGAAATGAGGGGTCCTTAATGCTCTCTGAACTTGGTTGTTAACCAAATTAGGTGACATCATCAGCGCTAGTACAATATCTAGTTTGGATAATGAAAGGTTTGCAAGAAAAGAAGCAAGCTCAGAGAGCCCCAAGGACCCATCACTTTAGGCCAGTGGTTCTCAACCTGTGGGTCAGGACCCCATTTGGGGTCGAACGACCATTTCACAAGGGTCGCCAAACAACGTAGTCCGCCATTTTTTTCCCCTTTTCCTTAGCTGTGCTACTCCCTTTTATTCTATTGGCTTTTGAAAGCCAATAGAATAGACTCTCTTGAATAGAGTCTAATTCTATTGGCTTTCAAAAGCCAATAGGAATTGTCCAGGCTGTCTCTGCCCTGCTGAGCCCGCCAAAAGTCCCATTCTGCAAACAGTGCTGCACCAGTTGAGTAGTCCTCGACTTACGACGGGTTGAGTAGTCCTCAACTTACAACCGGTTGGGGGTCGCGGCATTAAAAAGGTTGAGAACCACTGCTTTAGGCACTGATTTAGAGAGCTGCAGGAACAGCACTGGCGCAGTGGTAGGATTCAGCCAGTTTGCGCCAATTTGGCAGAACCAATAGCTAATTTTTTATTACCCAGGCCCAGAACAGACTTCCGGAAGCGGCATCCACACAAGAGAACCGGTTGTTCACATATCTGAATCCCACCACTGCACTGGAGGGATCAAGAGTGGGTAACAGTAATTTATAAGTTTAGGATTTTTATATAGTTAACTTTATGGCGGTCTTTAATCAGCACAAGATTTGGGCTTGCTCTTAGATTGCTCCATCTTCCTCCCATACTTAGAACCTTCATTTTGACCCGGTGCTCCCTGAGTTATGGCAAGTCGACTACCGTCCAGATGTCGCTGAAGCCCCCACGTCCCTCAGGCTGGGCGCTGTAACCTTCAGGAGCGGCCGGCCGAGGAAACGGAAGCTCCCGTGCAACGACGCTGCTCCGGCGCTAGGGGTCTCCCTTCCCTTCGTTTCCAGAATGGGGACTTTCTGGCGTAATGCTCCCGGCTTCCCACTAGGGCTCCCTTCCTTCTTCAATCTCTCTCTTTCTCTCTCTCCCCCCCCCCCGTGAATCGCACGTTTGCTGCCGCTTCTGCTGCTGCGCTTCTTTCCTACGCGAGCACAATGAAATTTTGTGCCGCTGTAAGCCCAGCGCCTTCTCGCAATCCTCGCAGCCCAGCGGCTTAAACCCGAGACGGGCGCAAAGGGGAAAGCAGGACCCGCGGCGGGATTGCAAGGGAGGAGGAGGGGGGGCGGCGTCGAGCCCACCACCGCCTGGGAGCTAGTGCCAAAAAAAAAAAAAAAAAATCCGGAAAGAAAGAGAGAACAATCTGCCCGCGATCTCCGATCAGGGAGGGATGAAACCTCACTGGGTCGCTCCGCTCGGGAGGCAGAAAGGTGGCAGTTTGTAAGTTTCAGGATCGCTTTTGGAAACCGCTTCCCAGACGCGGAGGAAGCTCTCTTTTCGCCCTCCAGCTTCGGGCGCGGGGGCCGCGGTAAGCGCCGGGCTGCAGAAGCCTGAAAGATTTTCTCTCTCTCTCTCTCTCTTTTCCCTTTCACTTTTTTTTTCTTCTTCTTCTAACCCTCTCCGAGAGCAAAACTGCTTTATTATTATTATTATTGTACGGAGCTAGAGAAGCTCCTGAAAACTCCGGATTTCTGTTCTTCGGGCTTCCCCCCCCCCTTGACTTGTGTCTGCTTTGCCGGATCCAGAGGAGAAACAAGCCGGCGGATCTTGGACGCGGATCGGAGGAGTTCGGACGACTGACGGGGTGGAGAAGCGATGGAGGGAGAGAGCGGAGCAGTTCAACCCTTGGTCGGTCTCGCCCCCCCTCTTCCCGCCCCCTTCTGACTTACGGATTCCGCGAGCAACTTTTCTTCCACCTCGTGTTCTCCTCCTCCTCCTCGCCTTTTTTTTTTCCGCGCTCTCTCTTTCTTTGGGGACGCCGCCGCCCGCCCGCTTGCAGCCAGCCTTTTGCACTCGTGGGGATATTGTGATCCTGGTTACTACGATCCCCACTAACTTTCTCTCCCTTTTGGAAAGCATCTCTCAACTTCGGGGGAGGATTTAAAGGAAACACCAGCAGAATCGCTTCTTGGAAAGTTATTAACTTCCAACACGTCCCGTATTATTAATAATCAAGGAGAAAACAGAATGTTTTTTTAAGGGATTCCGTACAGCTCCGGACGTTTTTTTTGGGGGAAAAAAAAAGAAATCGTCTCCCACCCTCTCGTCAATTGCTCCACTGGGTTTTTACATTTCTGTGGCGGTTCTGCATCTGTGGAATGGATCCTGGTCAATTCTTTCCTTCCTTCCTTATTATTTTTCCCTCAACCTCTGAGATGAATTGCGCTCCCGGGCTAACAAATCTTCCGAAAAGGATTTCGGTGGGTTTTCTGTAGTTCTTTGCGCGAAAAGAAAACAAACAAACAAAAAAATCTGTCAATTCGTCTTTCCTGGCTGTCAGGAAGGATCATAACTCGTAAAAGGGGAAGGGGCTGACTTCGGGTTGCCCTACGGGGGGGGAGGGAGAGAGAGGAAATAAAAAGGAAAGCAAAAAAAAAAAAAAAATCCGATCTGGAGCTGGTCGAGCGACTCCCTCCACTCATGTCAGCGTGAGAAAGCCGCGATCTCCGGTTGAGAAAAGAGCAGCGAGCGCGAGGAGGCGTCAGGCCCGTCGGGATGGGGGACACGGCGCCCCCTCAAGCCCTGGGTCTCCTTGGAGGAGGAGGAGGAGGAGGCGCGATGGCGGCAGCGGCGGCGCCCCCGCGGGTGCACAGCGCGATCGTGGAGAGGCTCCGGGCGCGCATCGCCGTTTGCCGCCAGCACCACTTGACCTGCGAAGGGCGCTACGAGCGGGGCAGGGCCGAGAGCTCGGATCGCGAGCGAGAGAACACCTTGCAGCTTCTCAACCTTGTGCAGCACGGCCAGGCGGCCCGGAAGGGAAGCAAGCACAGCAAGGCGGCGGCGGCGGCAGCAGGGACCGCCGGAGGCAGCAGCGCCGCCGCGGCTTCTGCTAACGCCGCAGCGCCCCCTGCGGCCGACTACTATCCCCAGCAGCTGATCAGCAACGGGAGTGCTGGGGTTAGGAATGGGATCAACGGGGAGCAGCCCAGCGCCGTCGCTGGGGGCGAGCCCAGGAATCCAGCCCTGATTGCGGTGAGTTGCGTGGTTCTCAGTTTTTTCCTTACCTTTTCGGCTCCTTCTGTGCAGCCAAAGGGCAAAGATTTGCTCTCCGTAGATTTTTCTTTCTTTCTTTTTTTAAATGGCGATTTGGTTGTTTGACAGTGCCGATTCTGGCCACCGTCTCTAAATTTATTTTATTTATTTATTTGCACCCCGCTTTTATTGTAATTGTGACAGTTCTAGTAGTGCACTTGGAGTCCCAGTGGACAATCCCTTAAATGTGAGCCAGCAGCGTGCTGCAGCTGCCAAAAAAGCCAACACAGTGCTAGGCTGCATTAACAGAAGGATAGAATCAAGATCACGTGAAGTGTTAACACCATTTTATAAGGCCCCACTTGGAATACTGCATCCAGTTTTGGTCACCAAGATGGAAAAAATATGTTGAGACTCTAGAAAGAGTGCAGAGAAGAGCAGCAAAGATGATTAGAGGACTGGAGGCTAAAACATATAAAGAACAGTTGCTGGAATTGGGTATGTGTAGTTTAATAAAAAGAAGAGTAGGGGTGACATGATAGCAGTGTTCCAATATCTCAGAGGCTGATACAAAGAAGAGGGAGTCAGGCTATTCTCCAAAGCGCCTGAAGGCATGACAGGAAGCAGTGGATGGAGACTAATCAAGGAGAGAAGCAGAACTAAGGAGAAATTTCCTGACATTTGGAACAATTAATCTGTGAAACAACTTGCCTTCATAAGTTGTGAGTGCTCCAACACTGGAAGCTTTTATGAAGAGATTGGACAGGGTTTCCTGCTTGAGCAGAGGGTTGGACTCGATGACCTCCAAGGTCCCTTCCAACTCTGTTATTCTGTTATATCCAACACATCTTCCTCCTCCTATTTTCCCCATAACAATAACCCTACAAATCCCAACTCCGACTGAGCTGCAGAATGCAAATAATCAACCACAGGTTTCCATGTCAAAGTTTGTGGAGCCAAACCGGGCGCTTGGGTAGCCTCCACTGGTTTTCTGACTTGAGCGATCCCCATCCTCTGCCTCTTCTGGAATTGTGGGAATCTGGAGCAAAGTTGGGGCTTTTGGGGGGGGGCAATGCTAGGGCTGAACTCTTGCCTAAAGAAAACTCCCCTCTAAGTCTTTTCTAGTGACAGTGACCTGCCTTGGAGGCTGAGAGGGCCTGGATGGGACAGAAGAGGCCCAGAAATGACTGTTATCCAGTCATCATCTGGAACAGGGTGAACTTCATCTTTAGTTTTGGAGGGGTTTGTGTGACACACACATACACACACACACAGAGAGAGAGAGAGAGAGAGAGAGAGAGAGAGAGGCCAATTTAGTTAGGCCAGGGGTAGGCAATCTTGGCTCTTTTATGACTCATGGACTTCAACTCCCAGAATTCCTGATCCAGCCATGTTGAGGGGAAAGGGAGAGGTTTCCAAGCTGAACCATGCTGGCTCAGGAATTCTGGGAGTTGAAGTCCACAAGTCATAAAAGAGCCAAGGTGGCCTACCCCTGGGGTAGCCTCTCTTGATCTCCTGAGCATCAGGTGGAGGATGGAATCAGGAGAGCCTTTGCCTCACCTCACATACCTAGATTCCCAGGGATTTTGCAAAACTGCATTTTACTTTAAAAAAAAAAAAAGCTGTCCAGTGTTGGTTTGTTTCCTTAGATTTAGATGCTGCCCAAATCAGGGTAACATTGGATAGCTCAGAACTCTAAACATATTCAGAGTATAATGTAAATTGTAGAATGTGAAACAGGAAAAAAAAACAGCATCAGTCTGGACAATCCACTCTAAATCTCTCCCCTGCAACCCAGTGAGAAGACCACAACCACAGTTCTTCAAAGCTGTCTGGAACATCATGAGGTAGGACCCACACACATCCCAGGGGGAGCTTTGTGGACCAAATGACCCTGATCAGTTTGTACAATATAAAGCAGATATTTCAGGAACTGCACTGGTTGTCCTTAAGCTTCCAGACCCCCTTGAATGTACTTGGAAGACATAAAACTCCTCTTCGAATAGGACTTTGGGCACTGAATGGACATTAAGATGTTTCTTAGGCCCATCTGGTGATGGTGTTTTTTTAGTTATGTTTTTATGTTGCCTTGGGGATCTGCTGCTTTTATGTTGTGGATGACAAATCGTTGATCAGAGTGAATGCTTAGGAGCATCAGATAAACCAGCAGCTAACAGGCCTAAGAATTGCTAGTGGATACTGCAAAACATTAGCAGCAAAATCACCACAATTCTTCTTTAAAGAGCTTTCGTGTCTGTCATTCAGCCCATCATTGAGAGGGATTTTGAGAACTTCAGTGGTAGAAGTGGGCATGGAGGTCTTTGGATAGCAAATTATTTCCACCTCCATTCTAAAAATTCCCCTAGATCAAGGCTTCCAAACCATGACAATTTTAAGATGTGTGGACTTCAATTCCCAGAATTCCCCAGCCAGCCATGCGTCTTAAAAGTTTCTAAGGCAGGAAAACTCTGCTGTAGACAGTCTTCCTTCAAATTGAGGCAGGGGGAGATCTTTTAAAGCAAGGATGTTGTGATAGGGAAGGTCAAAAAAGTCAAGATAACTGCAGTTGAAATTTTATATGTTTTATATGAGTGATGCATTGCACATAAAAAAAAGGCAGAACTTGAATCACACCATTATGGCTGCCATTTTGACTTTTTTTTTGGCTGGCTGGGAATTGAAGTCCACAAGTCATAAAAGAGCCAAAGTTGCCTACCCCTGCGGCCTATAAGCACTTCTGCTTTGAGTAGACATTATAAAATTATATGGGGCGGGGACTTTGGTTGGTGCCAAGAAAATGTCCATAGATCCCATTAGGAAATTGGGCACCCACCAAGGTTTTTGCCCCATGTACTGTTTTAGATTAAAGGTAATATCCAGAAAGTAAACCACCATCCTCAGACACCTATATTGCCAAAAATAAATATTGCCCCCTATATATACTATATTGCCACAAAAAAAGGGGGTCAACCTATTCTCTGGAGCACCTGAAGGCAGAACAAGAAGCAACAGATGGAAACTAATTAAAGAGAGAAGTAACATAGAACTAAGGAGAAACTTCCTGACAGAACAATTAACCAGTGGAACAACCTGCCTCCAGAGGTTGTGAATGCTCCAACACTGGAAGTTTGTAAGAAGAGCCTGGACAACCATTTGTCTGAAATGGTATAGGGTTTCCTGCCTGAACAGGGGATTGGACTGGATGACCTTCAAGGTCCTTTCCAACTCTGTTATTCTGTTATCCTATATTGCCTTCCAGAAGCCTTCTTAGAAAATAAAATATTGAGTGGCTCCAAGAGCTTGGTTTTACTTTTGGCGTACACATGTTTACACATACACATGTTTTGCAAGAATGTCATAATCTGATTTCGTTCCTGGCTGCAGTTAAAGAATAGATGAAAGGCTAGTTTAGAAAATGACAAAGGTCATTCTATCTAGATTTAGATTTGTGTTAAAATAACTGTAAAATATTTGCACAGCTTCCCACCATTTTTCTCCTGACAAACATACAGGTAGTCCTTGATTTATGACCACATTTGGGGCTGGAATTTTGGTTGTATGTCAGTGTGGTCATAAGTCAAATTACGATGTGACCAGATCTGATTTTATTACCATTTTATAGCGGTTATAATGCAAATCACTGTGGGTGATTTTTGGGAAGTTTTTTTGCCTAAAACATGAAAATAAGTTGCAAATCATGATCATGTAAACTGCACCTGATCTGTAATTATGTCACACACACACACACACACACACGCACACACACACACACACCGGATGGTAGAATGGACTTAAATGTGATTATAGGACATAAAGCATTTTTTCTTAGGGCATCCTAACTTTGGACAGTTGTTAAACAAACAATCATAAGTTGAGGACTACCTATACTGTACCTAACGCAGAGATAGGAAGAATAATTAGCTTATTATAACTACATCCACCTACATCAGTGATTCTCAACCTTTTTAATGCTGCAACCCCTAACCGGTCGTAAGTCGAGGACTACCCAACCAGTCGTAAGTCGAGGACTACCCAACCGGTCATAAGTTGAGGACTTTCCCTGCCTGGGAGCGCCGCACATGTGTGGTGCCGCCCCCTGCGCCGGCCGAGGCGTAGCTGGCAGGCGGCAGAGACGGAGCAGGCCGACCACCGGCTGGGCCACCAGCTGGCCCAGCCCAAGGGAGGTAAGGCACCCGCCGGGCCCCACACGCACCAGCAACCCTCCCTGCGCCCACCGGCCTCCCACCTCCCACCCCTGGCCCTCTTTTACTTACATTTTTAGTAGTTGCTCAGCAGGGAGGGGTGGAAACTTCCAGACAGCTCGCCTTCGCTGCAGACAACTTGCAGCACTGTTTGCAGAATGGGACTTTTGGCGGGCTCAGCAGGGCAGAGACAGCCTGGACAATTCCTATTGGCTTTTGAAAGCCAATAGAATTAGACTATATTCAAGAGAGCCTATTCTATTGGCTTTCAAAAGCCAATAGAATAAAAGGGAGTAGCACAGCTAAGGAAAAGGGGAAAAAAATGGCGGGCTGCGTTGTTTGGCGACCCCCGTGAAATGGTCGTTTGACCCCCAAATGGGGTCGCGACCCACAGATTGAGAACTGCTGACCTACATAGACAACATTTAATTCAGAAATATATATGTTTGTGGAGAATAGGTCTATGCACATGAAATATGCATTCTCAGGGACAGTATACTTTCAAACAGCAATTGTTTGGGACAGAACATAGAACAGGGGTGTCACACTTGCAACGTCATGTGACCTGTCGTGACGTATCGCGACTCTTTTGCCATTGCCGACAACAGGGTGGGTGCAGTTTTGCTATGATACATCCGGCCCATGGGCCGGCAGTTTGACACCCCTGGCATAGAGGGAAGCAGTTGCATGCTGTGTGGGAATTCTGGGAATTGAAGTCCCCATATCTTAAAGTTGCCAAGATTGAGAAACACTGGTCTTATACACTACTGACTATTAGGGATGATCACAAGATGGAGT